TCCACTGACAGACACCTAGGCTGGTTCCATAGTTTGAATTGTGAATTGTGCTGCTATAAACATGAATATGCATGTATCACTGTAGTAATTATTCAGGGTAAATACTGATGAGTGGCATAGCTGGGTCATGTCGTGGTTCCATGCATAATCTTTCAAGGAACCTCCATACTGATTTCCATAGTAGTGGTATTAATTCATAGTCCCACCAACAATGTAAAAGTGCTCCTTTTTTCTCCACATCCTCTGCAGCATTTATTATTATTTGTATTCTTGGTGACTGCCGTTTTTTGATGTGAGATGAAATCTCAGTGTAGTTTTGGTTTGCATTTCTGTAATTGCTAATGATGTTGAACATTTTTCATGCATTTATTGGCTATTTGTATTTGTTCTTTTGAGAAGTGTCTATTTAGTTCATTTGCCTATTTATTAATTGGGTTATTTGACTTTTTTTGATGTAAAGGTTTTTTGAGCTCTTTACATGTTCTAGATAGTAATGCTCTCTCAGAAGAATAGATAGCAAAGATTTTCTCCCATCTACAGATAAAAATACAGGAAAAATGCTGTTCTAAAAGAATTATTGCAGCATGATTTATAGCAATAATTTGGAAGCCCAGTTACTTAATAATAGGGAAATAGTTATAGATGACATAATTTTTAAAAATAATTGTGAAGACTTTAACAACTTGAAAAACCTATCAGTTGAAAGGGTTATAGAGACACTCATAGATTCATATTGTAACTTCACAAAATGCGTAGTAAGATGAATGAATCATAAAAATGAAAAAAATGATTTAAAATCTACAGATAATGAGGTAATTGGATGAGTATGCATAGAGGTCTAAATAAGGATGGTAACATATAAAAAGGACATTTCCCCTCTTAAAAAAAGTATCACAGTATTCTGGAGGAGAAGTCCTAATGCATAGGAAAATAACATGTTTTGTTTTTATTCTGTTAAGGTTAATCATCAATGAGATTTTAATCTCCCATACAATTCTAAACAAATTAAAAATCAACTCTAGTTATTAAAAATGGATACACATTTTAAGAGTTTGCTACATAGAATATGAAATTACTGCTTTCAGTTTCTAAGACCATTTTATCAAATCAAGTCTTTTATAATTTATCTGAGAGAAGGAAATTAAAAAAATATATTAAGGAAATGTTTCCTTTAGAAATTTTGGAAAGTTTTCCATATTGAAAGAATAATTCTCACTTTTAGGTGATTACTTTCCAATATTAATTGCATTGAATATAAGTAACTATTGGCATATATAGCTTTTGAAAAGGACCAAGTAATTATTTAAACTTATTGCCAGTGTTTAATGAAACCTATATACTAGAAATAATGATCCTCAGAGCAACTCATCAGAGTGGGTATCATTATGATTCATATAAGTGAGCAAACTGAGTCTTAGAGAGGGTTTTAAATAATTTGTATAATATAAAGGTAATTTACTTTGTGGAGCCTAAATTCAAACCTAGATTTGATTTACTCTAGAAGACTACATTTTTAACTGCATTACTATTCTGCTCTGTTCATTACATATCTGTTGTGGTGGTTCTCAGTTGGCTACATATTACAATCAGCTATGGAGCTTTGGAACTGTCTAGGTGTCCAGGTTCTATTGTAGACCTATGGATTAAGAATCTCTGGAATGAGGGCTGGGGTTGTGGCTCAGCGGTAGAGCACTTGCTTTGCAAGTGTGAAACACTGGGTTCGATCCTCAACACCACAAAAAATAAATAAGTGAAATAAAGGTATTGGGTCCAACTATAACCAAAAAATAAATATTAAAAAAAAATCTCTGAGACCTGGTGTAGAGCATTTATTTTAAAACTGGACATAAGATTATAATGCACAGCCAAGGCAGAGATTTTACACCTGACACACAGGCTGTGATGAAATATAATCTAGTAAAGGTGCAATAATAGAGCTCAAAGTAGCTGAGAAAAAACTTTGTACACATATTTGAAAAAACTCGATACTGATATTATTCATACAGAAAGGATATATTATGTGAACTATACTAAAGTCCTAGAACCACACACATTGTCATGTTGAAAACAAAATTAAGTTGAATCTTTTTACATTTGGGATGAAAGAATGTAGTACCATTGTCTGTGACCCGTAGTGAAGAGATAGTGTTTGAGGCAGAAGATGAAGATAAAAACAAGCAGCATAAATGCTGATGTATTTGGGGAAAATTATATGGCTGAGAAGGGGATCCAGATTAGAGCTTTTAATTGCTATCACAGTATATTTAGACTTGATTCAATAAATAACAGAAAATAATTTCATGTTAATGGTTAGAGAGTTATTTGGTAGGAAATTAGGTAACCATTTATCGAATGAGATAGAAATAGAAGAAACATGAATCACTTTTTCTCCAAAAATTAAAAGTATGCATTATGAAGACTGCCATGAACTTTTAAAATTCTCAGCTGGCAAGCCATGGCTGGGACCTGTATTCACAGCTAAATTTATTTTCTAGAAGTCTTTCAGGTAATCTCAGGTGCATCCAAGAAAGTGCTTTCTTGAACATTTCTTCTTTTTTTATTATTTTTTAATATTAAAATTATAGAAAGAGTTGGTTCCTTACAGCAGGTAATTTATTTAGATGGTAGAAAATTGTTTGCATTTTTTACTTTCTAATCCTTTCCTTTGAAATGTTTGACTTTTGAGGTATCTGTTTCTTTATTTATTTTTGCACCAATCTCACTTTTATTCCTTTAGACAATTTCTTATTTGCCTCTTCCTTGAGTATTGTATCCCTTTGTATTTAGGAGAGGCTACTATATGAACAAATTTAAAATTATATTATTTTCTGATGTATGTAGTCTCTCTTCTATAATTATAGTTTCTTTTTTTTTTTAACCTTACACATAGATTTCCATAAGGAATCCATGTGGTTCTGTTTTGAATATTGTTCATCTTTAAAGCATAGTGTGGGGATGAACAGTGACAGTGAACCGTGGGTGGGTTCGGCACAGGTGTTAGTGATGACTAGTCTAAGAAGCCTCTCAAGCCAGTAGGAGTTCTCTGCCTCAACATGAAATATCTCTTATCTTAGATTATTGTTTTTATTTTACTTTAAAATTTTTAAGCAATTAGAGATTCATAGCAAAGTGTAAAAATACCATAAAAAGGTCCTATGAACACTTCACCAAGTTTCTCAATACTTATGTCTTACATAATTATAGTATATTATTAAAACAAGGATGGAGACACTGATACAATGCCTTTATATGGCATTTTTATTTCCATATCTATTTTTCAGTTTCATTTTATGGCATATACAGATTCATGTAACTAACACCAAAATCAAGATATAGAACTAGGCTATCACCACAAAGATCTCCCTTATTGGTACCCTTTTATAATCATATCACCTTCCCCCAAGTGTCTGTACCCACTGCAAATGGTCAATCTGTTTTTCATCTTTATAATTTTGTTATTTTGAGAATATTGTATGAGTAAAATTATATTTTTTATTTTGGAGTTTTTTTTTTTTTTTTTTTTTTAATAGTCCTGGGGCTCAAACCAGGTCTCACACATGCTAGGCAAACACTCTATCACTGAGCTATATTCCCACCCTTCCAAGAGCATGTCATCTTTTAAGATAACAATTTATATTTAGTTAAAAAAAAAAAAAAAAAAACCTCAAGATGTACTGTCTCACATTCCTACCAGTTGTGTATTCAAAGAGCCAGATTCTTCCACATCCTTGTCAAGAGTTTGTCACTGTTTTATTTTAGTTCTGATAGGTGTGTGTTGATAAGGTCTTTTTTTCTCTGTATTTTTTTTATTAGTGATTTATAGTTGTACATAATGGTGGGATTTGTTGTTCAATTTCATGCATGTACACTTATGGTCTTAACTTTATTCAAAGTGGGTTTTTAAAATTTGTAATACTGGACATTGAATCCGGAGTGCTTTACCACTGGCCTACATACCCAGTTTTTTAGATGGACAGATTGCATTTATTGTTTGTTTTCATATGGTGCTAAAGATGGAAACTAGTGTGCCACACTTGCTAGGGGAAGACTCTGCCACTGAGCTAAAGCCTGACCCGCCTTTTACATTTTAATGTAATTATAATATTTTGTTGACATTTTAATATATTATTGCCAGAAATAGTGGAAGTGGATTCTAATATCAAACTAACTTGATTTTCAAATGAAACATTGATCCTAACCTCACATGTATGTAGAAAATATATCTATTAGTAACACATACTTTACCAAATTTCTCATACATAAAAACCATGTTGGGTACATTTAGATTTTTACTATATTTAAAATTGCAAAAAATTTTATCTTTCTATATCTCCATGTAGCCAGTGAACTACATAGTTTGTCTGATAATTATAAGGCTACAAAGCCCGATAAGACCTACATTTTAGAAATTATTAGGAAGACCTATGCTTTAAGTGAAGTCTTAATCTTTATCTTTGGGGGAATTGAGATTTTCAGTTTTCTGAATAAAATATTTAAGACATAGTACACATTAGAATTAATGGTTGAAAAATCACTGATTTTAAAGAATTTGTTCAATATAGAAATAAATTGTATTTTGAGTTCTATTTAAAAAATATAGGTATTGAAAAATCAGGATTCTAAGGAGGGCAACAAAAATTACTTGAATGTTTATATATATTATAAAAAGAATGTCAGAATGCAACCACCTAAATACAGTTTAGTACTAAAGTAACACATCCTGGGGAACTGGAGTTTGGGGGAAAAATGGTTGAAAGATTATACTCCCATTTTTGCAATGGCAGTTGTTTTTTTAAAGCTATTATTAGTCATGTGAATGTGTTATAATTTTTCCTTATCATACAGTTCATTTCCAAACTTTAGATTTTGTGATGCTCAAGAACTTCTAAATGTCTTCATACTAAAATATTAAATTAATTAGCTTTTAATATTTTTAGTAGTAAATATAAACCATTATCTAAAACCTATTTCATTAATTGATGATTGGTTTTGCCTTTCAGCGGGGGTCTGATGAACTTCTTTCTTCTGGTATTATTAACGGATCTTCTACCATGAACAATTCTACTCCTTCTACAGGTGTGTATGGTAAGTTTTAATTTTCTTTTCCAAATATTTTCTTTTTATGAGTTTTAATTTTTTAATAGTGTTCTTATTTTGCTTATCTTATGAACATGTTGAAGTGATACTGTTTATAATATAAACTAAAAATTTGTTGTATTGAGATACTGCACTGTTTATGTAGATGAAATCACCAGTTATAGCTCTCTTTAAGTTTTAAGGATTCCTTTGAATCTAATTTGATAATTCCTTTTTTATTGATTTGTGTTACATAGTTGTGATAAAACTATCATTGATGAGTTTGTGATCAAGAACTACTGAGCGAAAGAGCTAGATTTAAGATCTGTGTTGAATGATGATGGACTTGGAATAGAAGTATTAAAACTATAACTCTTGTTTGGTGGGGGTATGCCAAGTATCGAACTCCCAGGATGTGCTCCACCACTGAGCTATAAGTACCCTCAGCCTCATGTAGTCTACATACCACACATACTTCATGTAGTCTACATACTACATACTACAGTCTACATACTTCATATAGACTACATGAGGCACAGGATACCACTTGATTTTAAAACAACTGCTTTTGAAATGTGAAGGCTGCAAAATGGGATGGAAGAGTGCAGTACTGGAAAGAGAGGGGGCAATTAAGAGGTCATTTCTGTAATCTTAATAAGGGATGGTAACTTAGTGAAGTGGTGGCAGTGACAGTTGTGATGGAGCGCACTGGAGAACTTGTAGAAGGTAAAATTGACAGTAATTGGTAATTAATTGAATGTTTAAGGGATTCTATCAATGACTTCTAGGCTTTTAGAGTTGGACTTTGATAATTAGATGAGTGGTGTGCTGTTCATTTCTGTCAGAGAATATAGAAGAACATAGTAGGTTCAGATTTGTATATATTGAGTTTGAGGTTCCTGTGGAACATCAAATAGAGATGTCACACAGCAGTGGTTTCCTGATCTCAACAGCACAAGAGAAATTTGGTTCTTGGTATCAAACAATTGACAGTGGAAACCATGGGAATGAAGAAATCTATAAAAAATGGAGTTTTTAAAAAAATATTTTTAGTTGTAGACGGACACAATACCTTTAATTAATTTATTTTTTTATGTGGTGCTGAGGATCAAACTCAGTGCCTCACATGTGAGGCAAGAGCTCTACCACTGAGCTACAACCCCAGTCTCAAAAAGGAGAATTTTTATCTGGATCTTTTTGGAATAATATAGGGAATGAATAGATCTCTCTTTTATGAGCTGACATGGTGTTTGGGAGAATGAACAGCCTCTACCTGAGGACTCTGTAAGAGAATTGGTCAGTTTTAATCAGCTAGCAAAAGAATGAAAACAAACTCTAAGAATGCTTGGGAATTGATTAACTGTGCTACAGGGCCCCCTCTCCCCGCTATTGTTAACCAGGGATCGAATGGGGGGGGTGGGCACTGAGCCACACCTCCAGCTATACACACACACACACACACACACACACACACACCCCACGCCTTTAATTTTAAGACAGGGTGTTGCTAAGTTGCTTAAGGACTTGCTGAGTTGCTGAGGCAGCTGGCCACCATGGCACAAGGCTGTGATCCTAGTGGCTTGGAAGGCTGAGGCAGGAGGATCATGAATTCAAAGCCTGCCTTAGCAACCCAGTGAGGTCCTAAGCAACTTGGCCAGACCCTTTCTCTAAATAAAATATAATAAAGGGCTGGGAATGTGGCTTGGGGTTCAGCACCTCTGGGTTCCATATCTGGTTCTGAAAAATAAAAAGTTGCTGACGTGGCTTTGAACTTGCAACCCTCCTGCCTCAGCCTCAAGTCACTGGGCTTATAGTACAGCTTTCTAAAGGACTAAATGGAATGATTTTGTAGGTAGGGTAACAGCAGTGGATTTGTTCATGTGAAAGTATAAACAGATTAATAGTATGGACATTGAGTCTAAAGCAGATTTCCTAAAAGTTAAGCTCACATTAGAATTGTTGGGGGTGCTGTTAAGACAGTTGCTAAGTTCACTCTGAGCATTTCTAATTCAGAAGGTCTGGAATGCATCCTGAGAATCTGCAAAATACTAATATTGCATTTTAGGAATCATATTGAGAACTACTGGATGAAAGAAAGGCTGGTATCTGAAGTTCATAAACCTGATTATCCTCTTGATCTGGCGGACTTTTAAAAGCTTTTTTGCTTTTACTTCTTAAGGTTAAACTACATCCTGAGTGAGGCCACATATTCTTATTTTAAAACATCTTGTTGGTTATTTATTACTAGGGATTTAACCCAGGGGCGCTTAACCACTGAGCCGCATTCCCTGCCCTTTTAAATATTTTATTTAGAGACAGGGTCTTGCTAAGTTGCTGAGGCTGGCTTTGAACTTTCAATTCACCTGCCTCAGCCTCCTAAGCTGCTGGGATTACAGATGTGTGCCACCGTGCTAGACCCTCTGGTTATTTTGTCCAGTCATGTTTGTGAACTATTGGATAGACGACCAGAAAGACTCATATTTTGGGTAATGATTTAGTGAGGAAAAATGAGATATGGATGTGAATTTTAACAGTTTTGTGTTTGTTTTGGATTTCTTCTTATATACCCCATTTCACTTTAGGTTCTTTGTGTTTCTAGCTTTAATAGAGCCTTTTAAGTGGTAAGCTTTCTTAGACTTTGACTAGAAGTGTCTGTTTCATTACCACTATTAAATGATATTGAATGATAGTTGACTGTTTAAGGTGACTGTTATTTTCTTGTTGAATTTACTATTCTGTTTTTCTTTTGGCTGTCATTACTGAGCAGTCAGACTACCTATCTGATAGTGTTACTTCTTGCTAGTTATTTAAAAATTTTTTATTAGAGCATCATAATTATACATAGAAATTGGGTTCATTTTGACAAAATCATACATGCAAGAAATTTGATTTCAAGCCCCTTTACCTGCTTTTTCTACCCTTCTGCCCTCCCCCTATTCTCCCTTCTCTACTCTATTAAACTTCTTTTCTTCTGCATATACTTAAAAGTGAAATTTCCTCTGGTTTCTTTATATATGAGTATGGTATAATTTTGTTAAATTCATTCTATTTGTCTTCCCTAGCTATTTTTAACATTTTCTCTTTTTATTCTATGGTTTCATTAGCTATGTCTAGGTATGGATCACTGGTTCTCAACCCTGTATGTTCCTGAAAATAACTTGGAAACATTGAAAAAAAAAACACAGATGCCTTGTCCTATTGCACACCAATTCCAAAATCTCTGAGGGTGGGGACCTAAGTAATTTTTTTTTTTTAAACTTTATTGAGGGGCTGGGGATGTGGCTCAAGCAGTAGCGCGCTTGCCTGGCATGCGTGCAGTCCGGTTCGATCCTCAGCACCACATACAAACAAAGATGTTGTGTACGCTGAAAACTGAAAAATAAATATTGAAATTCTCTCTCTCTCTCTCTCTAAAAAAAAAAATTATTAACTTTATTGATGGTGCTTCCAAGATACAGCTAGAGTTGAGGACCATTACTGAAGTCCTTCTTTTGACCTTCTCAGTAATGAGACACTCTACAGTTATTTTCTTCTGGAATCCTAGTTAAACCTGTACAGGAGCACCTCATTCTGCCCTGATTTGTCATAATCTGTTTTACATATTTTGTTATCTCTTTCTCTGTAACATTGTGTTTTAGATAATTTTCTTAAAATGGTTTTCTGATTGACTCATCATATGTTTTGCTTTCTCTCATTTGCTGTTTAATTCTTCTAGAGTATTTGATTTCAGGGCTTGTATTTTTTTCTATGTCTATTTGATTCATTTTAAGGTCTACTTTGGGTTTTTTGTTGTTGTTGTTGTTTGGTCGTTTTTTAATGGTACTCTTTTTTTCCTATGATATTTCTTTTTCCACCTAATTCTTTAATCATTTAAATCAAACTTTTTTGGGGGTGGGAGAAGTGGAGGTGCTTGGTATCAACCAAGGGCTTTGTGCATTCCAGAGGTAAGAGCTGTACCAGTGAGCTGCATTCCTAACCCCAAATATATAGCTTTAAAACACTTTTTTTTAAAAAATATTTTTTTGTTGTTGATGGACCTTTATTTTATTTATGTGTATGTGGTGGTGAAAATCAAACCCAGTGCCTCACATACTAGGTAAGTGCTCTACCACTTAGCCACAACCTCAGCCTAGCTTTAGACTTTTTATAACTTCAGATTTTACAATTATGGGGTTCTTAGGGGTACTAACATTTCTATTTTCTATATAATATATGTTAGTGTTTGCTGATGCTATGTTCTTTTTCTTTGTGTGAGTCAAAGTTTTTGGTTGTGGGAGAGTCTTTAGTTGATTTATTTTTTTCTTCTGTGAAAATCTCTGGGGTAATTTTGTGTTTGCTTTGCTAGGTTAGCCACTGTATCATCAGCATCTAACGTCTTCTAATGTGTTTGTTGCTTTGGGGAATTCCTTTCTAAGAAAGGAAGAGAAAATTCAGAATCCAAACATTTATTTATTTAGAATCCTCATTCTCTCTTAGGGGTTCTGATTTGACTTAGGTTAATTTATATATTAATGTAAAATGTTGATTTTTTTTTTTTTTTTGGTGTGGTATTGCTTTCCATCTGGGAAAATTATTTGTGAGTCCACATTTTTAGATGTTATTTTATTTTTATTTTTTAAAATTTTTAATATTTATTTTTCAGTTTTTGACGGACACAACATCTTTGTTTGTATGTGGTGCTGAGGATCGAACCAGGGCCGCACGCATGCCAGGCGAGCGCGCTACTGCTTGAGCCACATCCCCAACCCATAGATGTTATTTTAACTCCAGTGACAGCTCTGCATAAGTTTCATACTTCATTAATCCATATGCTATTTTTAAATGTAATATTAGGAATTAAAAGCAGACATTGTTTATGGTATATCCCAGTATTATTATTTCCATTCTGTTTAGTAACAGATTGCTACTTTTTTTTGGATACTTTTTTTTTTTTTAAAGAGAGTGAGAGAGAATTTTAATATTTATTTTTTTTTAGTTTTCGGTGGACACAACATCTTTGTTTGTATGTG